AATGATGCCATAACGTCTGTAACACAAAGTTACAGGCTATCCGTTGCATTAAAACACAATATTCTCCATCCACATCTAATTGTTACTTGGCTAGGTCACAGTTCAACTGCACACAGAATTGGTTAAGGAACGGCATAAAGAGAGGCAAGGATGCTATCAGCCCAACAATTAAACCCATAGTGATAGCTTTCCACATTAAATGCTGTGTGTGTGTGTGTGTGTGTGTGTGTGTGTGTGTGTGAGAGAGAGAGAGAGAGAGAGAGAGAGAGAGAGAGAGAGAACTTAAATCAGGGTTTGCTTCAACTGTTTGCTGGAGCAGACAACCCGGAGCAGACAACCCTTTTGTGAGCATAGGCTACCTTTCTGTTTTTCTTGATTTCTTTCAGCAATGCAGAGACTGCTCTGCATTTCTACTGAAACAGAGCCAATATTTTTAAAGGGGATGGAGCTTTGTAAAGCCATAAGGAAAATTCCAAAGAATTGCAAATAATTCGAAGTAGTTCAGTCTAGATGCATGCCAAACAGCCTTGGTTTGGAGATAGGATTACTTGCAAGTAAGGTTTGGAGTTGATGAAGCGTTTCTAAAACTTGATTGAAACTGTTGATTGCCTCGGTTATTTTTTCCCATTAATTTTGGCTGATAATTATATATTTATCTGTAAAGATCTTTAATGAAAAAACTCAATTCTGGGCATTATTTCCCAAATGTGCGACTTCGCTGCATTTCGAACACACTAAAATAACTGATCAGATGATGACTTTGGGACTCTGGTTTTTAGAATATATAATGTTCAGTTTTCAAATCACAACTCATGTACAGAAATAATGATATGATGGAGGAGACCATATACACATTTCAGAATTGTAAGAGTTTACATAGTTCCTTTTTTTCTGTCAGGAAAACTATTATGGCAAGATGTTGGAAGATGACTCTAAAACCTAGATTTTGTGATTAGGTTGTGTGGCAGGCTAGGAATCAGACACACATACAAGGTAATACCCACTGCTCTTTTACACTGCTCATCTACCTGGCAGTGGAGAGTAATCAGTAATCAGTACCACAGGAATATACAGACATTAGTCTATTTATGAATTTTCGAGTTTCAAACTTACCGATATGAACAATCTTGTCTGCAACTTCAAATTAGAAGGTCCTAGAGGTTGGGAGATGGTTAGTTTACAGCACATCACATACATACTTTTGTTGGACTTGCAAACAAAATGGACTTCCAGACAATTTCTTCGAATGTAACCTGTTCGTACCTAGAGCACTGTCTGTAGTTCTGTTGTTGCTTATGAGAATAGCACATGGCTTTTGGGGGGGGGGTTACTTAGTCCTGCGTTGTATGACACATGCTTTGGCCATACAATTCTTGTTTCAGTGTTTCAAGTTCTTGATTTTTCTCTAGTAGCCTCCTCTTCTCTATAACATCCCCATCCCTTAGACTATCTGTACTACCTGACATCAGTTTGGCCTTCTTCTCTCTGAGAGGCCCTTCCCGCTTGGGGCCTCTCTCCCATCATGAAGATATGGTTCCCAAACTCTGCATTTTTCCTCACAACCAGGACAATCATTCTGCATCTTATTGTGCTAGTAGTAATCAAACTTTAACATTGCAGTCAATGACTGGACCAGGGAAAATTTTTTGGAAGTGATATCGAGGCAGTTGTTTTTAGTCTGTAAAATTATACAGAAAGAACATGATTTAAAGTATCAGTGTAACCAAGCTTTCATCATCCTAGTAGTATTTATTGTTAAAATATAGTGTTTAAGAATGAGAGAATAGAATGTATCTCTTTCTGATATTCTTAGGGTCCATGGAGCTACTCTAGGTGTAGGATCACTTCTCGCTGGCTTTGTAGGAGAATCAACTATGGTTGCAATAGCAGCTTGTTACGTCTATCAAAAACAGGTAAGACATTTTCTCAGAAAAAAACAGATTTCTTATCTGCTTGTACCTTCAGCCTACAGCAGGGGTCTTCAAACTTGGCCCTTTTATGACTTGTGGACTTCAACTCCCAGAATCCCTCAGCCAGACACACTGGCTGAGGAATTCTGGGAGTTCAAGTCCACAAGTCATAAAAGGGCCAAGTTTGAAGACCCCTGGCCTACAGTAATGGTGATGATTTCTGAAGACCAGAAATGCTCACTTGAACTGAAGAGTGTTTATTATAGGCATGTTACTAAATTTATTGCTGTGTGCAGTAGAGCAGCGGCCCCCAATCTTTTGGGCATCAGGGACTGTTTCCATGAAGACAGGTTTTTCCGCAGACCGGAGGGGGCGTGGTTTCTCATGCTGCCTGAATCCTGCGGATGGGACTTCGCTTGTTTGCACGGCCCATTTATTGTGGAATAAAATGCCCTTGTAGTTGAGGCTGACTTCTTCTTAAATGGTAACATTTAAGAAGGAGATTAAAATCTCTTTAGAGTTTAATTATTTGACATTTACTTTTAACACTTTATAGTTTTATGCATTACATGTGTGTTTATTTAAGCCAGCCAGATATCTATGGATGGCTGGAACGTAGGCAGGCAGGCAAGCAAGCAATTTGCCTGCGGGCCATCTTCTACAAAACTGGTTGTTGTTTTTTCCCAACCTAGAAAAAGAAGAGGAATGATAATGAGACTGCTACAGAAGGTGAAGACTCAGCAATGACTGACATGCCTCCAACAGATGAATTGACGGACATCGTAGAAATGAGAGAAGACAATGAATAATAAATGAAAACTCTGCAGGGAAAACTGGAAGTTTACTTCTTCTCTCACACTTTACTTTTCATAATGAGGCCTTGCTTCTGAAGGTTTCAGATAATGAATTCAGAGCATACCAAGTATGCTGGCATGGATGAGGAACTTCAAGGAACAGTCTCTATTTTTCTTCTTCCCCTTCCACCGATTCTTTTTTCTCATTTCATGCAATCGCAAAAGACATGGCGGCTATTCAGTAGAGGAAGCCTATGTTCTTGGGACCTTATCCTTCCTTGGTCAACCAAAGTCTCTCTGTTGATTCATGGATTGTGTTGCCGTCCTGCATCTTCTTCTTACCTGCCCCATTTCTTTTTATTATCGTTAATGAAATATAAAAATACACATGGGATTTGTGGGGGGAGGGGAACATTAGCTTTATTTTGCTTGCTGAAACATGACCTTACTCTTTTGATCTGTACCATGGTGGATCCCTGAGATTAGCTTTCTTAATATTCAGTGTAATATATTGTATACTGCTAAGACTACAAACAAGATCCTGAGTCAAAAAAAAAGAATTAGAGATGAAATATCTTAAAAGAGACCTTGATAAATGCAGAATAAGACTAAATACAGGGTAACCCTTCTGCTTAAGATTAATTGTTATCTATGATACAAAAGAGAGTTTTCCCTTTGGTAGTCAACTGTGAACCATCTGTATTACACTAACCTTGTAACTGTTTTCTAAAAACAATTGTGGACCTTTAAATCAGAAGCTTTATTACAATATTGGTGTCTTATCTAAAACTTTATATTTGATAGTGTTGTTCTCATATTTGATGCTATGCAGGATAATGTGGTTGAGATGAGGGACAAGTATTTGTTAATAGGGGTCTTTCTCAAAAGAAATGTGCCCCCCCACCCCAATATTTAAACCAAAGTAGTAATCTCTTGTGGGGTAGGGGAAAAATAAGGCTATTTGTACAAACTGCTATATGTGCTCACTTGTACAACGAATATAATAATATATCTTTTTCCTTTAGAAAACTTTGGATAAGACTATGTTACTTTAGGAGGAACTTGCCAAAATGGAATGGTGTTAAATAAATCAAAGCCTACACTGGGGAAATGGTCCAAACAGAAGTCTTGCAGTGCTGTGGAAGAGGGTCTCTGTCAGTGGAATTAGTGTTTCATTTGTCACTCATTAACCTGATGGGGCTACTTAACGCTTTGGTGACTTGGATGTGCTATAGAGCTTCCCTTTGGCCAGTCCGTTGGCTTTCCATGGATTGCCAGTTACATAGTTAGCAAGGGTTACTGCAGTCCAAGCGCAGCTTTAACATGGACGACACCAGCTTCCAGCTATTGATGTGGAAAGTGAAAGTGATGCCCGTATTTGCTCAGGAACTTCCTGTTCTTGTCATGCAGCTGTGCACTATTAAGGGAGCTAAGTGGAACCCTCAGTGCCCACGATTAATTTGGTAACTTCACATGACATCTTAACACAAGACAAAACATACTGAAACATTTCAAGGTTTCTTTAGACAAATTATATTTTTCTATAAGCTTTACAACAGTGAAATGATTTTATTTAATTTTGCACAAAGCTGTTTTCTAGATTTTGGAAGTGGATAGTTTTGATCAGAAGACATCTTTAAAGATAATATGTCAATCCTATATCAATATATGTGTGTATATACATACTGAATGTGTATAAATATATATATATATACATATATATATATATTGTACATTATATGTAATTTATTTTAGGTTGCAATGTCTTTTTTTCCCCAAAGCTCAGTAAAAAGAAAAAAAATGCAAAACAGCTTGTTTGCGTGGTGAAATTTAACATTAAAGATGTATATTATTTTGGATAAATTATCTAATTGTCAAGCTCAAGGAACCAAGAATGATGGGAATTACTCCAGATCTGTTTCTTTATTGCAGCTCACCTATAGACAGGAATTTGCTAGATTAAAGCATCAATCTGCAAAACTATTAGTTATACCCTGTGAAAGATTAGGGAGAGTCCTCTCTTACTCTATTCCTATAGGCCAGGGGTGTCAAACTTCCGGCCCCTGGGCCGCTTGCATCATGCAGAGACTGCATCTACCCCAACTCCTGCAATGCAAAAAAAGTTGTGATACGTCACGACATGTCACGTGATGCGGCGAGTTTTACACCCATGCTATGGACCAAAGATTCCACACAGAGCTGCCTCTGCTCTTTGGAAAAGACCCCCTCCCTCCTGCAAGTCTGTACTATAGGGGTCCCCAACCCCTGGGCTGCGGCATATTCCAAACCGGCCCATGCGAGCTGCAGTCCAGCTCGTATTGGTGCATAGCCTGACTTGCGCAAGCGGCAGGCTGGTGCATGCAGATATGAATGCAAGTTGAACTGTGTGTGCCTATGCTTGCGTGCCAGCCCACCACTCATGCAAGTCAAGCTGCACATGCATATTTGCATGCAGGCTGATTTACCACTCATGCAAGTCAAGCTACACGTGCATATTTGCATGCAGGCTGATTTACCACTCATGCAAATCACATGTGCATTGGCTTGATGCTCACCGCAAAGGTTGGGAACCGCTCCTATACTACATTCCACCACACCATCTTTGCAAATCAGTACTGAGTTCTGCACCCAGGGAGATACTGTAAGAGTAAGACAAAGTGGTGAATAGATTCAGTTTAAGATCAGCTTCTGAAACTTCAGAGCTAAATCTGTCCCACCCAAAAAATATTAGCCGACCCACCAGTGCCAAGCCAAAAGCAAGAAAAATACATGGAGAGACTATTTGTTATAATAATGAATGCCAAAAGCCCTGGGGGATAAACCAATCTCTATTTAATGTGCTCTCAATGGTTTGGTGATTAATAACAGCCCCCAGCGAAATAAAAAAAAATCAGATCTGTTCAACTATAGGTTCTTTGTTAGGAATACATGAATTTATTTTGTTAATATATTCTGTCTTACATTATTGGTATCTGTCCCACATGTGAATATATATGCAGTATTATTTCTACTTGTTTACGGACACCCAAAATGTTTCCATTTTTCTGCATTATTGACTATTGAACTTAAATGAGGGAAACATTCCTAAGACAGATTCCCTGCAGAAATGGATTTACTATTTAGCTAGATGTTTTATTTATTTAGTATATAAACTGTATCGGACCAAATCAACAGGCTCTAAGTCAGGGGTGTCAAATTCACAACGTGTCGTGACATATCACAACTTTTTTTCCATTGGCGGGGTGGGCACAGTTTCAGCATGACGCATCCGGCCCGTGGGCCGGCAGTTGACACCCCTGCTCTCGGTGGATCACAGTAATATCCAAACTGCACTAATAAAAGCAATTATTAGTAGAGTTAATAAAAATACAGGTAGTCTTTGACTTATGACTACATTTGAGCCCCAATTTTCTGTTGTTAAGTGTTTGTTCAGTAGGGTTTGCCCTATTTTACGACCTTTCTTGTCAGAGTTCTTAAGTGAGTCACTGCAGTTGATAAGTTAGTAACACGGTTGTTAAATGAATCTGGCTTCCCCATTGATTTTGCTTGTCAAAAAGTTGCAGAAGGTAATCATATGATCCCAGGACACAGCAATGGTCATAAGTATGAACCAGTTGCCAAGTATCTGGATTTTGAGAACAGGATCATGGGTTTCCTGGCTCAAGCAAAGGAGATTGCTGGATTTCACTTGAAGCAGGCAGAATTAACTCCACGGATGAATCATACAAAATTACTTTATTCCAGGCATCCTCAAGTCAATAAGTTACAGTTACTGCAGAAATTCCTCTGGAATGCAGATTGTAATTGGGACCCATTGCGTAGGTAAAAGGATAATAGATTTCTCCATTCTACGGAACTCTCAACCCTCATGGCTAGGATTCATGGAGAGATAATAGACTGGCACGTAAACAGGATATCCCGTAATAAAAACACAAGACCCTCCCAGTGGCCAGTTAGAACACAGATCTGACCAAACAACTAAAACTACATTTCCCAGAAGGCCATCCCTTAAGGGGACAGCATTTTAACTCTTAAAATGCTACTTGCTCTAGACACAGTTCTTAACCCTTAAAATACTACTTGCTCTAACAGCACACTCCCCGCCTGGAATTATAAATTTCCACTATTAATTAACTATAACTAAGATAAACAAAGGCAAACATCAAACAATGCAATTATGAGATGGACACAAATATGCATAGTTCGAAGTTCAATCTTCAAGTTCTGTCTTCCTCAGCAGCAGTACCAGGTCGGTGATCGGTCTGGTGTAAAGCCTTTTAACAAAAGTCTTTGAGTCACGATCTGACTCTTGTGGTTTCGTGATCTGGACTTCAGTTTGGCGAACTAGTCCATCAGAGCTGGGTAGAACTTGATGCACAAGTCCCATGGGCCAAGAGTTCCGATGTGCGTCCTTGTCTCTCAGCAAGACAAGCTCTCCTTCTTCTAGGTTAGGCTCTTTGGTCTTCCATTTGTGGTGATCCTGTAGGGTAGACAAGTATTCTTGCTTCCAGCGCTTCCAGAAGGTGTTGGCAAACAGTTGAACTTGTCTCCATTGTTGTTTGTACATATCTTTGGGAACAAAGTTCCCTAATGGTGCTGGCCAGTCTTCTGGGTTAGCAAGGCGGCCGGTGTGAGAATAGTTGGATTTTCAGGATTCGAGGAAACTGGAACCAAAGGTCGAGTGTTGATGATAGCTGCCACTTCTGCCATGAGGGTAGTGAGGACTTCATGTGTCAGAGGGGGTATCTTTGTTAATGTGGAGTCCAGGATTTTGCAGGTAATGCCAATCATGCGTGCCCACGCTCCTCCCATGTTGGATGCATGGAGAGGATTGAATGTCCATACATAGTTTTGGGCCTATAGCTATTTGTCAATTATTGGATCATGGTGAATACCTTCATTGATCTGTAGTTCTTTGCAGGGGACCCATCGCATAGGTAAAAGGATAATAGATTTCTCCATTCTACGGAGCTCCCAACCCTTGTGGCTAGGATTCATGGAGAGATAATAGACTGGCACATAAACAGAATATCCCGTAATAAAAGCACAAGTCCCTCCCAGTGACCAGTTAGAACACAGATCTGACCAAACAACTAAAACTACATTTCCCAGAAGGCCATCCCTTAAGGGGACAGCATTTTAACCCTTAAAATACTACTTGCTCTAACAGTACAATGGGGATGTTCCAAAGGTTGTAAGTGTGAAAAATTGTCATAAGTCACTATTGTAACTTTGAACAGTCACTAAATGAACTGTTGTAAATCAAGGACTACCTGTATTACACAGTTTAAAAAAAATTACCCCTCCATAACAGATCATAGAAAAGAAAGGGAAAAAAGGATTTTGACTGCCAAGGTTATCTCTGCATACAGCACAAGTTACGTAAATGATGCAGAGAGCAGAGTAATCTTTCAAAAATGTGCCGCTACTACACCAGAGCACAACATATTTGTTAGAAATTAGTCTTAAAGTACAGGTAGTCCTCAACCTATGACCACAATGGAGCCCAGAAATTCTGTTGTTACGTGTGATAGTTGTTAAGTGAGTTTTGCCCCGTTTTATTACCTTGCCACAGTTGTTAAATGAATTGCTTCAGTTTTTAAGTTAGTAACATGGTTGTTAAGTGAATCTGTCTTCCCCATTGACTTTGCTTGTCAGAAGATCGCAAAAGGGGATCATATGACCCCAGGACAGAACAACCGTCATAAATATGAGTCAGTTGCCAAGCATCTAAATTTTGATCACTTGACCATGGGGATGCCGCTACAGTTTTAGGTGTGAAAAACGGTCATGTCTCACTTTTTTCAGTGCTGTTGTAACTTCAAATGGTCACTACATGAACTGTTGCAAGTTGAGGACTATCTGTAGTTTGGAGCAAGCAGTTAAGGTGCAGGCCATGAAAGCCACCTGGGTGTGACCATGGACCAATCAGCCCATATCAACCCAACTCCTCTCAAAGTGCTGTTGCTGTGGAGAAATAGGAAATAGGAAGAAGGAGGAATACAAGGTATATTGGCCACCTTGAGTTACTTATAAAAATAAAGACGGCATTAATAAATAAATGTGGAATGACCATGATTGCACAAGCTTCTGAGCCATGGTTTTTTCATGGCTTA